TTGTGGCTTCATTGGAGTGTTGGTCCATTTCACATGCACTGTTTCTAATATATATTAACTCCTCTGTTGTTAAGTTGTGGTTTTTCAGAACTCATCACTTGTCTTTGGTTTTGTTTATAGTAGGGAGTAGAAAGCTCTTATGTAATTAAATATGCTTGTCTTTTTCGTTTTGGTGCTTGTCCTGAAATCAGGTCCTGGCTTCCCCACTGAGGGGGACAAAGCACCCAGTTCCTTGTCCATGAAGTGGATGTGGTGCAGTGTGCTCAATGAGGGACCACACTAGCCTCTGCCACCTTGTGAAGAAAGCCTCCCTATTGCTAAGATCTGGCAAGTGGGAAGTAACTTTGTCTTATTTTTATTACAGCTCTTACTCCCCAAGCTATGGCAGATTCCTGAGATCATAGGATTAGAATATCCACATTTCAGATCCTCCCTCAGACCCCTTTCATGCCTCAGTGCTATCCTTGTGATGATTCCTTCCTGTATTAGGCTCCCGGTGGGCCTTTCTGGCCAGTCCAGGCACGTCTGAATTCAAATGCAGACCTCTGTGGTATTTTCACTCTCTGTTGTATAATTTAATGACCAAAAAAGCTGGGACAGATTAGAGGGGATAGGAAACATTGCTTATGATTCCACATGTAGGAAGACAATATCGATATCAGAGAGATGACTTTAGAAAGATAGCACTTCACTACTTTCCCCTTGCCGCTCACCCCTCCCTTGGCTTCCCTGGCCTCACTCTGTCTGCTGGTTGTCCTCCACCCACCACTAACATTATGGTGTTCCCCAGGGTTCTGTCTGTAACTTTCCTCTGTCTCATTTCAAATGCTCTTCCTGAACAGTCTTAATCATTCCTATGGAGTAAATTGCCACTTATTTGCTAATGACTCCCAAGTTTCTAGGTCCACCCCAGACTCTCTTAGGTCCATATCCATCTGCACATCTGGCCATCTCCTAGTCATTCTACTTGAGTGTCTACTTTGGGGTCTCACAGCATAGTGACAGCAAAGTCATGCTTTCTCTCCAAGCTGGCTGAGCCATCCTCCGATAAATGACCCCACCTTCCACCCAGTGGTGGTCATCTCCCCTCCCTTCCCCATCCCATGAGCTACTAAGATCTGTATCTCTTCATTACCGCTTCAACCTAACTCATAATTTCACCTCCTACTCACAGCCATGGTCTATGTTCTGTTACCTCAGATCCAGACCACCAACCCTCAGCCTTCTCATTGCTCCTTTAAGACCCATCTCAGTCCTGCCATCTGTGGTGATTTCTCTCCACAGAATGAGTTGGTCTCTTAAAAAAAAAAAAAAAAAAAAAAAATTCCTCATTCCATTGTGAGTGGAACTGTTATATTGTACTTTTATATGTTTCTACTTCAGCGTGTTATTTTGTGTTCACAGTGGCACATGTAATGCCTGTCACTCAAAAATTTTTACTGAATGAAAAGATAAATAACTGGTTTTTGGGGAGGGGTATTCAATTGAAATTTTTCCTCTTTCACCACTAGACCACGTTGTACTTGTCTCCCTATATAATCCATCCTTCTAAACAATGACAAGGAGCCAAATCTGACAGGCTCAAAGGAGGAAGCAAACTTAAGAGCAGCAGAGTGTGGCAAACACAGGACAGTGATTTTTCTTTCCAGCGTAAGCAGCGGGGTCTTTGAGGAAAGCCCAGTATTACAGCAGGTTCACACAATGTCCTCTCTTGATCTGGATGGTAGTGACATGATAATTTACTCCATAGATATTTGTTAACAGTATACACTCTGTGCACTTTTCTATATGTCTGTTATATTTAATGATAAATATTAACCTACCATTGTTCAATAAGCAATCGAAAAAGAGAATTAAGAATACAACTCCATTTACAATAATACAAAAAAGGAAAAGATACTTGGAATTAACCCAATCAAGGAGGTGAAAAAATTACAAAATGTTGCAGAAAGAAAACACCAATAAATTGGAAAGACGTCCATGTGAATGGATTGGAAGATTTTGTATTGTTAAGATGCCAATACTATTCAAAGTCTTGTACAGATTCAGTGTGCTCCCTATCAAAATTCCACTGGTGTCTTTTGCAGAGTTACAGAAATACATCTTAAAAATCCATCTGGAATCTCAAGGGGCCCAGAATAGTGAAAACCATAAAAAAAAAAAAAAAAAAAAGTTGGAGGTTGCATACTTCCTGATTTCCAACTTATTACAAAGCTACAGTAATCAAAACAGGGTGGCACGAACATAAAGACAGACATATAGAGCAATGGAAAAGAAGAAAACCCTAGCATATGTGGTCACATGATTTTCAACAAGGATGCGAAGACCAATGAGCAAAAGGCAGTCTTTTCAACAAATGGTGTTCGGAAAACTGGATATCCCCATGCAAAAGAATGAAATTGGACCCTTCCCTTGCCCCATATACAAAATCAACTCAAACATGATCAAAGATTTAAAAGTAAGAACTAAAACTATACAATTCCCAGAAGAAAATTTAGGGGAAGAACTTCACTGGATTGGGGAATGATTTGTTGGATATGGCACCAAAAGGACAGGCAACAAAAATAGAAACAGATACACTGGACTACATCAGAATTTAAAACTGCATCAACATGGTGAACACAATCAACAGAGTGAAAACAAATGAGAGAAAATACCTGCAGATCATCTCTGCTAAGGGGTTAATATCTAAGATATACACAGAACTCCTAGAACCCCACAACAGAAAGCCCTATTTTATAAGGGGCAAAGAACTTGAATAGCCGTTTCTCCAAAGAAGGTTTACAAAGGCCAACAAATAAATGAAATGATGCTTAACATCAGTATTGCCAGGGGTTGGGTAATGGGGAGTTGTTTAATGGCTGTACAGTTTCAGTTCTGCAAGGTGAATGAGCTCGAGACTGGCTGTGTAACAAGGTAACGTACTTAACATAACTGAACTATATACTTAAAAATGCTTAAGAGTGTATGCTTTACATTATGTATATTTTACCACAAATAAAATTTAAAATATATAGTTACTGATAAAGGTATCAGAAATTTCAAAGTGGATCACAGACCTATATGTAAGTTAAAACTATAAAGCTTTTTGATGAAAACAGGAATAAATTTTTGTAAGTTTGGATTAGGCAGTGGTTTTCTTAGATACACCAGAAGGAAAAAGAGATAAACTGGAATTCATCAAAATAATTGTGCTTCAAAAGACAACATTAAGAGAGGGAAGACAGATCACCTTTGGGAGAGAACATTGCCAATCATTTGTCTTTAAGGAACTTGTATACACTATATATAAAGACTTCTTATAACACAATAATAAAAAGACAAGTAACTCATTTGAAAAATGGACAAAGGACTTGACCAGACATTTCTCCGAAGATACACAGAAAACCAGTAAGCACATGAAAATATGCTCAGCTTCAGTAGCCATTAGGGAAGTGCCAATCAAAATCCCAATCGGATACCAGGTCACACCTAGTAGAATGTTTATAATCAAATAGATGAAAAACAACTGTTGCTGATGTGGACCAATTGAAATCCTCTTGTTGCTGGTGGGAATGTAAAATAGTGTAGTCGCTGCAGAAAAGTTAGGCAATTCATCAAAATGTTAAACTTGGGAATTGTTATGCCACTGTTAGGTATAACCCTGGAGAAATGAAACGTATCTTTGCAAAACTTGTTCACAAATGTTCATAGAATTATTCTTAATAGCCCAAAAGTGCAAATAATTCAAAGTCCCTCAACTAATGAATGGTTACATAAAACATGGTTTATCTATACTATGGAATTAGTAATCAGCATTAAAAAGGAATGGACAGATCCTACATATGGATGAACCTTGAAAACACAGTAAGTAAAAGAAGCCAGTCACAAAAGACCACATATAATCCCATTTTTATGACATGTCCAGAATGTGCAAATCTATAGACACAGAAAGTGTATTAATGGTTGCTGGGAACTGGGGGGAAAGGAGGGATGGCGGGGAGTAACTGCTAATGGGTATGGGGCTTCCCTTGAGAATGTTCTGGATTTAGATAGTGGTGATAGTTGCACAAACTTGTGACTATACAAAAAGAAGCAAAACTGAATTGTATGCTTTAAGTGTGAATTTATGGAATGTGAATTTCTCCAAATGAAGTTCCCAATAAAGCTATTATTAAAAACTGATGGTTCGATAAAATAATTTTAGAGTATCTTATCAAAGTTCTTTCAGTAAAAGTTGGAGCACTTAAATAGGTATATAGGAGTTACTGAAAGGGGGGGGGGGGGGGGAGGAACAACCCATTACTTTCCTTTTCCCAGTGAGAAGCAGTACACCTATACCACACAAAGAAACCTCAGTGACACTCTGCCACAAGGACTGGTGTGCAATTCTCACTTTAGGTGAACCTTTAAACAAGCAGCTGAGCTACAGAACACCTTGACTGCTTGTCCGAATAACCATGCCTGTAGGAAGCAGCATAGTGTCTTCATTATTCTTCAATACTGAAAAGAGAGGTGAAACTTGGATTCATATTTGACTCTTAACTATATTAAGTGATCAGAGTAAAGTTATTGTGATTCTAAACTTTTTCAATCATTTCCTGGTTTTCACTCCTGCTTTGTCTATGGACATCTGTTGTTTTAGTTTGCTCTGATCCTTTCCTTTTGGGGGAAGGCCCACCAGAGACATTCATTGCAGTTCTGTTGGGGGATACCCATTACAGTGCCTAAGACCCAAGCCTGGACGACATCATGGGATCTTACCCCCTTTTCCACAGAACTGGTCTAGTTCAAGAGCAGGTGGTTCAAGTAAGCTAACAGTCCTTTTGTAGGATTTGATTAGTGGACCCTAGAAAAGGTTAGCTCTCTTCTTTTTGGATCACAGATCTTACGGATGTGTGCTTTTGGCTGCCTGGACTCTTTCCCATTATGTAGAGAGAGGACCAGGCCAAAACTGAAGCCAGAAATAGAGAAAAACAGTCACAAGATGGAGGCCAAGAGCCCCAGCAACATAACCAGAGCTATGCATCCAGCTATGTCTATTACATGATGTTAATACTCAAGTTTTGAGGTTGTTACTCTAGTGAATCTGTGTAAATGAAGCATTTCTTCTCCAAGGAATCAAACACAATTTATTTTAGAACTAAACGGTACAGATTGAGTAAAAGAAAGCTTTATCCTAAATTTTCCCAGTAGACACTGTCTCCCAAGACTACATGTTACCAATTTTCACAGTCCCATCAGTGGCCTTCGTAATATTCACAAAGGATGTACAAATTGTGTCATTTTGTCGACGAGTCAAGTTGGAAAATAACAATCTTTTCACTTTTTGAGCTTTCTAACAATTCTCAAAATATAGTAGGATGCTCCCAGCTCATAGCTGTTCAATTAAATTTTTCTTCCAGAAGTAACTTAGAGCAAAAGAATCATTTAGTTTATACACAGTCAAAAACAGAACTCATCCATTTTCTCCAGTGTTCATGGAGGGAAAAACTGGTCCATCCCACCAGATGTAGCAAAAAGTCTGTCTCCTGTTTGGGTTCTCTGTTGTAAGTGACCAGAGAAAGCTTCATGTTTTCATTTTGGTTTCAGCACACTAGCATCAATATCCTTTTCTTCCTCGGAATCTGGATCTGGTATCCAACTGAAAATAAATGTATAATTAAATCAATTTTGTACAACATAACTAAACACAGCTTTGATAAGGGGCTCTCACTACATGACTAAAGTAAACCAGTTTTCCAGCACAGTCAAAAGGGCGGATGTCAGAACTACCAAGGAAAAAAAAATAATAAAGATGGCATTAAAAGGAAAAGTTCCATTTAAGGTCCCAGTAAGGATTTTCTTTTCAAGTAGAGTCCAAATTACATTTATTTTTTTTCTCTGAACTACACCCGATATGTGTTGTTCTAGCAAACTTAACTTTTAAGTTTTGTTTGGGTTAATACTCAAATGTATTTGAAGTCTTTAAATATTAAATAACACTTAACTGTCTAGGGATTAATAATCTTTAAAGTACCTACTCATAGGATGATTGCATGGTCTTTGACTTAAACCTCAGAGTGCAGCCTCTTTTAAGAGTGGTCGGCGAGGTGGAGGGTTTTAAAGTCAGTAAATAAGGCAGATTTCCATCTTGGAGGACTAATAGTGAATGAGTCTTGGACAAAGGCTGGAAGAATCTATTAATCTGCTCAGAAGTTCCCTAGACAGCTCTTCCCAGTGTCAAAGTAGAAGTTATAGGTAAATAATATTATCTAAATCCTTTTTTCTGCATGATCTCACTGTAACCCTATCTATAATTAATAGGCCATTCCATATTTAATTATATATAGCTAATTTTTAGCATAAGCTTTCAAAAGCTTTAACCTCTTACCATTGATCTTTTACATTCAAAAAATGAGTATTTCAGAGCTTTGCAGTTTCCTTCCTTCAGACACTGTCGAGGGGATTTTCCTTCCTAGGATACAGAAAACAGTATAAATACCTGGCAAATTTCCTCACAAAGCACAAAATCCCTATTCTTTTGGAAGCAGTGTTTTTTGAAAAAAAAATTTAGGAAGTAAATTATAGGTGAAAATATTTTGTAATTCATTTTGACTGTTGATGTTTAGGGAGAACAGGATAGAATAAAAAGATGTTTCAAGTAATTCTGGAGCACTTTAAAGGGTGCCCTTAAGTTCTTGAAGACACTAGTGTCCATGGGATACTTTTCTGTAAGATGTTTACATAAAAATCTTGAAACTGGTATTTTTAGCACAATACAGGTAAGAAAGAGAAAACACAGAGGTGAAAGCAGTAATGGGGTTTCTTCAGTGGTTTTAAATTTTTTTATACTTCAGAATTCTTCAAGACAGAAGAACATTATGTGTCAGAGAAGGAGAGAGAGCCTGCATATGTGTACACAGGCACGTGCCTTTGAGAAATCAGGCCTGCTGTAATGGGAAACAGGATGGTTTATTCTGGAAGGTCCTATCAAGTGGCTTTAAAGCCTCCAGTTACGTCCTTTTAATGCAAACCATTTTTTTATACTTCAGAATTCCTCAAGACAGAAGAACATTATGTGTCAGAGAAGGAGAGAGAGCCTGCATATGTGTACACAGGCACGTGCGTTTGAGAAATCAGGCCTGCTGTAATGGGAAACAGGATGGTTTATTCTGGAAGGTCCTATCAAGTGGCTTTAAAGCCTCCAGTTACGTCCTTTTAATGCAAACCATTTT